TCTGAAAAACGGTGGTCGTGGTTTTTTTAACGCAGACGACTTGATGGTAAATCTCAAACACATATTGATTGCAAAATTATTTCCTGTGCTAGCTGGGCTTTTTTGGGCAAGACTTTATACCAAATCCTTTTGGAATGGAAGTATATTGATATTGATCTTGAAATGGAGCGGGGCCAATTTCGCAATCAATTTGTACCTTTCCCAGAGAGCGTGAATTAGGACTACCCTAGGCAATGCCCTACAACCTTACACTAAATCGATGGGAGTCTTACCTGACCTCCCATCAATTTCATCTCCCTCTTAGATTGGATTTATGTTCTCAGCAGCTTTACAGATTTGCTAATACGTGTATTGTGGTGGGTTGGCCTAACTATAGTATTCTCCAAAGCTACGATGTTAACACCAAAAATTGGGAAACAAAAGAGTTCTTAATACCCAGAAGAACCTGCTTCTTTGATGCAAGAGTCACTTATTGTTGGGACCATCTGTCGCCGTTGACAGTTTGGTTTCAATTTTTTGAATTTAATTTTTTTAAATTTGAGTTTTTTTATTTTATATATATTGTTTTTAGTGAATATTTTTTTAATTTTAAATAATTTTTTAAAATTTTTTTAGATGTACTTTATTTAAATGTATTTAAATAATAAAATATTTATGAAAAAATATTTTAAAAAATTAATAAATACACAAAAATATGAAAAATGTATTGAATTTTTGTATTTTTTTTTATATTTTTGATATTTAGTGAATTTTTTAAAGATTTTTTTCACAAATATTATACTTTTTAAATATATTTATGTTAAATGTGTCTAAAAAAATTTTAAAAAAAATTACTTAAAATATTAAAAAAATTAATTAAAAACATTAAAATACGAAAAAGAAAAAATAATTTTTTTTTTTTTAAAAACTAATCAAAACCAAACAAGCGAATTGATTTTCATGTTCACACCTAGTTGGATATGATTAACGATTTGGTTCGTTGGGAGTTTCCATGACCATGGAGAAGAGAATGGAGTGCTTGATGCTGATAGTTTTCCAAGTTTGGCTAATCTAGGCAATGACAAGTTCTGCTTGCTGTAGGTTTCAGTGTTGGATCCCATGCCAACAATTGAGGGAAGGAGTGGGAGGAGTAGGTTACTACAACTTATAGCTATTCTTCTCACCTTCACTGCATGAAACTTCGGGTTACCACTCGCAGCTTTCCCATGAAGAGCGGAATTTTTCCCTTGGAAGTCTCTTTAGTGTTGTGCCAATCTTAGATAGTTTCTGGGGTCAAGTTTTTCCGTCATGACTAGGTGGTATAAGCATTTTATTCTTAATTTTATGTTCTACTTCATTCTTCTATGGTTCTTTTTATTGTTTTACTATATTATAGGATAAATTATAGTCTGTATTAAATCTTATTTTAATCTCTACATATAAAATTATGACTAAACATGGGTCTCATCCTATCTCCATCACTTAAAAAGGATTTTGAGACCCAAAACAAACTATTTTTGGTCACTACATAAATACTACATAATGAGAAAAAGTACTTAAAGAACTGTCCAGATTTGAATGCGTAGATCAAATTGATTCTGCGTATGATGTACTACACACCCATTGTCTAAATCTGTAACAAATTCAAATTTTATTCACTTATTAAAAAAAATTCTTGGCTAAATAGCATTTCTGTTAAGCAACTGTTGGAAAAGAACTTAAGAGAGAGAGGATTGATGACAAAACTTGTGGGCGTGAACTCTTAAAAGAATTAGGGTAAACGACAATGCTACGTAATTCAAATTTTGTGGCTCAAAAGTGGCTCAAATGGCCAAAACGACGTCGTTTTGAGTACAGAACAACATAAAAATGGCCAAAACGACATCGTTTTGAGTACAGAACAACATAAAAATGGCCAAAACGACCATTTGAGCCACTTTTGAGCCAAAAAATTTGAGCTACGAGACATTTTTCTTAGGGTAAATTATAAATACATTTCTTTAAATTTGATTAAAATATGAATAGTCTACAAATTAAAATTACATTCTACATTCTGAGATTTCTAATTTTATAATAAATAGCCCATTTTATTAATAAATCATCAAGTCAATTAACAGTTTTTAATGATATTAGAAATATGTTTCATTTAATAATTTAGGTAATTTTATTATTGTATAGAAGAGCAATTATGAATTTTATTTTTTTAGTTAATTTTGTAAAATAAAAAATTCTAATAATGGGGTATTTATAATTTTTCAAACTATAGGGGCAATCTGTACTTTAATCAAACCATAAATAATGTACTTGTAATTTATCCAAAGAAATTAAGATGATCAGAGTAATGCTGGGAATACCAAATTTTCTACCAAATAAATAACAAAATGTCTTACATGACCCCACACCCATGTGAGACATTTAGTCATTTATTTGGTAAAAAATTTAAAGTCTATAGCATTTTTCGAAAATTAAAGAATAGAGTAGTTAGAGTCTTCAATGTCATAACTCTCGCAAGTGCACAATTTTAGTATCATTCAATCAACACTTCATTGCGGTCATGTCCTAATGTTAGGGGTGTAAATTTCGCCCAATCCAGCTCGACCCAACCCACCCGGGCCTGAGCCGGAGCTGGCCCATGTCGGGCCTTTTGGGCTCCCGCCAAAATTCGGTCCAAGCTGGCCCATGGGTCATAAAATTAAGCCCAGGCCCAGTGGGTATTCGTGTCTTGGGCGAATCGGTGGGCTTGGGCCTAGGACTGGGCTCGAACTTGGGGCAAGCTTGGGCAGGCTTGAACAAATTTTTTTTGTATTTTTATTTTTTTTACCAAAATTCTATTATTTTTCACTAAACAAAACACTGGGCCTCGGGCCGAGCTAGGCTTCAAAATGATGGCCCAAGCCCTGGCCCAGGGTCTTAGGCTGAGCTTAGGGCTCAGGCCCAGGCTCACCCTAGACAGTGAGCGGGCCACCCATGGGCCACCATTTTTACACTCCTAACTGATGTCGAGGGCTACAATTTCGTTAGTCTGTGATTAGTTGTTGATCTGTTTAAATTCAGTCTGAAGTGTAGATATCGATTCTTACATTGGTTGGAATTGGCTTGCTCAAGCTGAAGCCTTACTTTGGGTTATTTTGGAAGGTTGGTTAAAAGTTAATCTTTTGCCTTTTTTTTATTGGAATTGGCTTATCTCCAAAAGTTTACGTTAGACTCTGAATTCAAAATTTTTAAAAAAAGTTATATTGAATGAGCATTGAGTTATCTTAAACTGATATATTGTATTGTGTGGGAGCCAAAATTATAGTAGCCCAAAGAAGTACACGGGTCCTAGTAACATAGCCCAACACAATTGGACCCAATTTGAGGTCAGTTCATTAGGCAGATCTATTGGGCCGAGTTAGAGCCAAGTAAGATTAGATATAACAATCGCCGAATAACGAGCCTCAATGCTTGGTAGCCGAGCAGAGTAGTTCAGATAAGTTGGCTTCTTGCCCAGTTGCCGATTCTTCTCCATAAAGTGCAATAGGGGAATGGGCCCTAACAGGGGATGCATAGTAAAAGATAAAAACTCGAAGAAGAAACTCTATAAAAGGGAGGAGAGGACTGAGGAATGAGTTAGGTTCTAAATAGTTTACTTATAGAATAGAACAAGCAATATATTTGAAAGGAGAAAACTAACTAGATCGTCGGAGTGTTAATTTTGGTGCCACCGACCGGAGTTGTTCTTCTGTTTCAGGTGGCCATCAAAGGACTACTCCAAGATCTGTGGGTATTTTGAAACGTTGGTAAAAAACTGACTTTTTGACTTTTTAATTTTTTTGGTGGCTTTTTTGGCAAAAAACTAGATTCTTTTGGGTAAAAAAAGTTGCATCTTTTGGCTAAAAAAGCTAAAAAGTCAAAAAGCTAGCTTTTTTGGTGTGTTCCCAAAAGAAGCTTGTTTGGATAAAGGAATATCCCAAATCCATTCCCCCACATATTGTATCGGTATTCCATATTCGTATTCATATCTGTATTTGTATACATATCCATGCTTTTCTAGAAAAGTATAATCTGAGTTGATGCCAAGTTGAAAAAAATTGTCTTAAATTATAAGATGATTAATTATTCAAAATTAAGATAAAAAGAAAATAATTCTAATGTTGAGTTATCTTTCTTATTTATTTATTTATTTTGTCATTGTTCTAAGCAGTTGAGTAGCTGATTGGAAGATGATTTGCTGCATGGCACGGTGGAAAGATGGCGAGCTTAGCTGATTGGACTAAGAATTTTGATTACTTGTTAGCTATTATGACTCGAGAGACTTGTTAAAACTTTTAACTTAATACATTGTTGGTAAATTATACACACTACAAAAAAATTAACTTTTTGCGACGGTAAAATACCGTCGCTAATACTCCTAATGCCGTCGCTATTACTTTTTGCGACGGCAAAATGAATTTTTGCGACGGCACAGTACCGTCGCTAATGTTTTGCGACGGCATTTTTGCCTTTTTGCAACGGCACTATGCAGTCGCTAATAATGTTTGAAATTTCTTGACTTTTTTGCGACGGCACTATTTTACCGTCGCTAAAAATTTTATTTGAGACGGCAAAAAATACCGTCGCTAATAGTCTTTTTTTTAAAAAAAAAACACTGTTTTTTGCGACAGTGTGGTGCCGTCGCAGAAAGTATAAAAATATGAAATTTTTTATTTTTTACGACAGTGTAATACCGTCGCAAAAAATATTAAAAAATAATAAAATTTTTATTTTAAATAATAAAATTTCTATTTTTTGCGACAGTATAATGTCGTCACAAAAAGTAAAACCTATGACAAAATTAATAAAAATATTAAAATTTTCTATTTTTTCCGACGGTGGTACCGTCTCTCACTCTCTAAGAGCTGATTATTTACATTCCATTCACAAAAATATCATAACAGAAAATAAAAATAAAAATTGATCAAACCATCAAATTCAATATTTTACAAAGAATAATTAAACTGTACATGTTCATAAAAGCATATTTAAATTATAAAATTCACCCAAATCCTAAAAAAAATAAAATAATAAAATAAAATCTAAAATTCACCAATCAGCACATTGGATATTTAAATGCTCTTACAAAAAATAAAAAAATAAAAAATTTCCAACAAGATCTCAATTTTGAGCCTATTTCAAAAATCAAGCTGCAAATTCCTACTTCTAGAATCAGATCTTCCCCTCGGCAAAATTTATCCTTTTGACCTACAAATAAATAGATAACAGTTGCAAATTATAATCTTTTGGAGAAACCAACTATTTAAACACCAGTAATGAAGACAATGAAAACTGTGGAAAGAACACTTACGTTGTCATCAAGAACAACTGCATATCTCTCAATTGAAATTTTTTCCGCACCATTCAAGATATTCCTTGTGACTAAATAAATTTTTTTAAAAATTTAATTTAAAACTTATCATTTAAAATATAATTTCATACCTAAATTATGATTTTAAAATTAAACTAAACAGAAGCTTTCACTTTCCCTTTCTCTCTCTCTCTAAACAAGTCTTACGTCTCTCTGTAAAACACTATCATTCTCTCTTCCTCTCTCTAAACAAGCCTTATTTTCTACCTCCTCTTTTAGGTGCCCCCCTCTTTCCAAAACACTCTCATTATTCTATCTCTAAACATCTCTCATTTTCTGCCACCTCTCGTAGGTGACTCCACTTTTTTTCTCCTTTTTTTTTTTTTTTTTCAAAAAAAAATCCTCCCACTCTCTCTAGA